GAAATTTGGGGGATTTGAAGCCTAAATTGGGGAATTAGGGCTTGGAAACTTGAAACCTTAATCTCGGGATTTGAGGGGCCATTTGTGGTCGGATTATTTTATTCTTGCTATGTATCAACTCATGGGAGGATAAGGATTCTGTTGATGTGATTTTTATCGAATTTCGAGACGTGGGCCCGGGGTTCGGGTTTGACCAATTTCGGGATTTTTGGTATAATTTGATTATTCATGCATGGGCTTCGTTCCTTTAGCATATTCTAATGTTATGATTCTGATTTTGGGTAGATTCGGTATGAGTTGAGGCCGAGGCGAGAGGCAAAGGCATCGCGGAGTAGTAATTCATCCAGTTTGAGGTAAGTAACCATTGTAATCTGGAACTAAGGGTACAAAACCCCGGTATTTTGTGTTGTTTTGACAAATGAGGCGATGCACATGCTAGGTGACGAGCGTGTGGGCATGCACCGGTAGGGATTTTGACTTGGTCCATCCCGTAGCGACTATTAAGCCGCGTATTTGATTTGAAATCTTATGATAACACGTATTTTAGAGGTTGATACTATATTATGGGATGTATGACATGTTTGGGGCCTTGTGCCGACCTGTTGAGATCCTTAGGGGCATTTTTACTGTTTTCCTCACTCTATTTGTTTGAAAGCATATCCTCAGTCACGTTTTACCTGTTTATTATTTAAACCTAGTTTTTACCGCTCTAATTCTTAAAATGTGAAAACTGTTTGGGTTGCGTTTCCCTGATTTCTACTATTATGCCCGAGTGGCTGTGAGGTTAATGACTGAGAGAGATTAAGGACCTAATAGCGAGGATTATACATAGATTATGGATCGGGCTAAACGTCGCAGCAATAATATATGTATATATTATGGATCGGGCTGCACACCGCAGTGACACTTATATGGATCGGGTTGCACGCCGCAGCAATATGACACTTATATTGTAAGAGCCCCTACGGAGTCTGTACACCCCCAGTGAGCGCAGTCAACTATAAACTATGGATCGGGGTGCACGCTACAACGGTTATTATGATTATTACTGTTATGAGATATTATTGAGCCTGAGTGCGGAGTGTGAGTACTGTGTGACGAGATATGAGTCACGAGTGACTGAGAGGCTATATTTATGAGTGATACCTTGCCGAGGGACCCATTTATGATATTTTGCTGACTTCACTCTTCTTTTTATAATAAGTCTCTATTGAAAAACTGCTAAGTAAATGATTTCAAAGTATTTCAACTGAACCTGAAGTTTTGCAAAGAATTTGGGTTTTAAACTGTTCAGTTTGATTTGATACTCTGTTGTGTACTCTTATATATGATTTTTAATTGCTCGTCACTGCATTCAGATCTTATTTACTTTAGTAACTTACTGAGTTGGCGTACTCACGTTACTCCCTGCACCTTTTGTGCAGATCCAAGTGCCCGAGCGGCAGAGTGAGGGTCCCCAGCATTATCGGAGCTTACCGGAGATTGCAAGGTAGCTGCACGGCGTCCGTAGCCCTGCTTTCCTCCTTCCTATCCTTGTTTTTCGCATTTTTAGACTTGTTATGTAATAGGCAGTCGGACTTGTTGTATTTAGAGGCTCTAGACTCGTGACACCAGATAGTTGAGCTGTGTTGGTTTGATGTCTTACTGTTTTCCGTACATTTCAGTGATTTAGATATTTCTTATGAAAAATTAAGACTTAATTAAATGTTAGAAAAAATATTTTTATTAAAAGAAATTGACTGTGGGTACTTGATTGGCTTGCCTAGTATCACGACTGGGCATTTGGGGTCATGACAGCTATGTAATGGCCTATGGCGTGTTATTGATAATGTTTGTGTGATGGTATAAAGGGATATTCTTGTTGTGCTTATGACTTCCTTGTGTATGTCATGTATTAACGTGATTTGTGGCGTTGTTTCCAATGTGCTAATATGTGCCTCTGTTATAACTTGATATTTTGGTTGCCATGATGAATTTACCTACATGTAGTTGTTATTTCATATTCTGTTGAGTTGTTGGTAACATAACAGATTGAAGTAAAAAATAAAGTTGTTATTATGTATTACTTTATATTCTAGATAAATTCCTCTTGAACATGATATTGGTAACTGACCGGGTACAATATACGAGGTGACAAGAGGTCTTTGCCGTGCGATTGTGGTATATATATTGTGGCACAGGATCTTTGTCGTGCGAGTGTGACTTGTATTTTGGCACAAGGCCTTTATTGTGCGAAGGTGATTGATAATGTGGGCATGAGGTGTCATATGTGCACAATTCTATTTGATGACTTGTTGTTGAAACAGGGGCCTTTACTTGTATTAAATTTTTGTCATTTGATCTGATGAGATTTGAGCTATTTTTTCCTATTATTCTTTTCGTTGCTCGTCTTTGATATTGTTGCACATGTTATTTAACTAATGCGTAACTTGACTTGAATCTCGTCACTACTCTACTTTGGTTAGTCTTGATACTTACTTGGTATCGACTGTGGTGTACTCATACTACACTTCTGCATATTTTTGTGCAGATCAAGGCATTGGAGATAGCGGGCACAGCCTGTGAGAGTTACTTCCATCGCAAGGATTCAAGGTAGAGTTGCTTTGATCATCGAAGTCCTTTGGAGTCCTCTCCTTACATTTGTACTGTCAATTTTCTATCCGAATAATATTGTATTTTGAGATATTTTTCCATGTATTCAGTTAGAGTTCGTAACTCTGTACTACCTAGTCTTAGAGATTTGTTGTGATTATCGTCGGGTTGGATTGTATCACCTTTATTTTCACATTTATGTTTAACCCTGTTCAGTATATCATGTCTTTATTGTTTTAAAAATTAATAAGCAGTCGGCTTACTAGTTTAGAGACTAGATGTCATTATGATCCTCAAGGTAAAATTTTGGGTTGTGACATAACACTTCATAAAATCTCAGGAGAGGTTCAGGTAACTGAGAATATGAATGAAGAGATCTCTATGTTATGTCTTGAAAAAAGGAGGTTGGAACCAATATAAATGTTCGTCGACTACATCTATCATGACGCTAAATATATATGAGGATCTTAAGTATGAAGAAACAATTCAAGTAGAATTGGTTTCATATAAAAGACAAGTAGTTTTGGACCTACAGTTCAAACACTTGAAAGTATAAAGTCAATGGTGTGTGCAATCACTTTTATCTATCTTATATGTCTGGTAGGACATGAAAACTTGATATACATCTAAAGTGTAGTTATATGGCTTATATGACTTAACTTATATGACAATCCCTGAAAGGTTTAAATCGCTTAAAATATATACAATTCTTGGTCCTGAAGTACCACACCCAAAGTGCAATTTGTGCATATATGTATCTTGCTATAACTATAAGCATGATGATGTGATAGTGAGAACTTATACCTTTACGGAGATGTTGAAAAGGTCATTCCACGATATTATATAAAGATATTACATATCTATCAAGAATGATAATTTCAAAGTGTAACATATTCATTCAAGTTAATATGGCTGATTTGTTTATGAAATCTCTACCAACGATCTTTTGAAGATGGTGCACAAGATTAGAATGTGAAGGCTCAATGATGTGAATTGATTGTCTCATCAGGGGGAGTTAATATGCGTTGTACTCTTTTTCCTTACAAGGTTATGTCTTACTAGGTTTTTCTTGCAAGGTTTTTAACGAAGCAACCAAAAGACGTATTGTTAGATATGTGTACTCTTTTTCCTTCACTCAAATTTTTCTCTACTGAATTTTATTTTAGTTAAGATTTTAACGAGACACATTATCTGTTGAATAGACTTCAAGGGGAATGTTAGAAATAGTATTGTATTTAAAGTGAATGTCTATCTTTTAGAGAGTTTTTAAAGTTTGTTACTCTGTGGCTAAATCACTTTTCCCCTATAAATAAAAGAGTTCTATCTCATTACAATTCATCTCAAAATCAATAAGAATTTTTTTTCTTTCTAATTTTCTCTGCAATACTCTTATGTTCTTTTATTATATTATAACAATATTGAAGTAATTAGAGTTTACAGTTCAAACTCGTCACTGCGATCTAAATTATAATGCTTTGGTCACATGATACTAACTACCGAACCAAACTACAAACTAAACTGCTATCAAAGGTATTGACTCCTTAAAAAAGGTCTCGAAATCGAATATTAAAGATGAAAAAACTGTTATTAAAGAGCATGTTATCACCCTGAAAAGTGAAACTTTCCCGTAGATCTGGATTAATCGGAGTCCAAAACCAACACACAAAGTGAGAAACAAACGAAAAAACCAAAGTATAAATCAAAAACTCATCCTTCTGCTCGTTGACGGTCGTGATTGACTCCCCAACCACGGATGCCAAAGAGCAAGTGCGCTGCTAAAATTAGGAACTCCGCCGCTTGTTGTGCTGTTAAAAGCTGAAGCAAGTTCTCAATAGTCTTCATCCTCAGTTGATCTGCTTTCTCTAATATCTCCACCAGCCTTCCCATCTTGCCATCAACGTCTCCCATGGTTCCAATTATAGCATTTCCACTATCCTACATGTTAATTGCAAATATACAATTATACGTAACGCATTTAAAGGAGACCTATAGGTACAATTTTAAAGAAAATTTAAAATATTGTAATCTAGAAAATTAGTGTACATAACGAGGTACAACCACTCCGACTAAACAGGCAATGTCAAGTGTCTAATAACTTCTACTCTTGTTGACACGTAAAACACTTTCATACTATAGGTATACTTAATTAAACCTATTATAGCACGTCATCTGTTTTCTATTGTCAATATAAAAGAACTTTTATACTAATATGATCACCGGATAAATAACCACAAGCGATCTTCCATTAAAAATAGTACTTTAAATTATTATCTTAAAAGTAAAGAAAGTTACCTACTATAATATATATAAAAATAGTACAAGTTCTTTACACAAAAATATAAGTTCTATGTTAACTAATTTTACTACGATGGACTTTTACACATAATTTTTTTTTTTTGTTTCGTAAAAAAATTCGTACACACCGTCAGTGTATAGATGCAAAGTAAGAAAACAAAAAACCAAAAAGAAAAAGGAAAAAAGGGAACAAGAAGAAGAAGAAATTCCAGCTGCTTGCCTGCCAATCTGAGAGTTGTTCAGTGATAGCATTTTCTTGCTGGACGGTTTCGTACTGAAACTCACTGAGCCGACTAAGCTGATTAGGTGAAAGATCCCCAAGGTCACCGTTACCGAACCCACGAAGGATATCAACGATTGGAGACTCAAAAAGGATGCTGGATTTAGTGTAAATAATGTGGAAAGCAGTAGTCGGTCGCCAACCAGCAATCCAATATAAAGATCTCTCTAGAGAATTAGACCATGGTGCACTGAATATATGGAGTATGTCATTTTTGGCAGCCATGGACTTGACACGGTAATATTCGTAGTAATGGGAAGTGAATTTTTGGACTAGATGTGTGTGCAATTCGTGTTGTTCTTGGTTAGTTGCAGGTCTTGGGGCTTTCTTTAGTTGTTGGACAAGTTCCCGGAGTTGTTCATGCCATTCTTCGTGGAATTGATGGAAACCACTCAGTTTTCCTTTTTGTTTATACATTTTTCCCCCTAGAAATTTAATTGAGACTCTAGGGTTGAAGTTTAAAACTTTGGTTAATTTATAATCGTTCAAGTTAATTTTTCTAGTTTTCTGGTTTTGGTTTTGATATTGTAGGCTTCTTGGGTGGGTTGATTTATAGGCCTTCGAATTTTGGAAGCTAGCAATATATGTGCATGATCATAGAGAGGTGGCGCCTGCAGTCTTTTGCTTGGGACTCGGAAGATATGCATCAGGTGGAAGATCATGTCCCTTCATGGTAAGGACAAGTTATTTCGACAAAACATCTATAATTAGATGAGGAACCAATAATAGTTGATGAGTTTCGATAATCTCAATGTGATTTATTGGTCGAATTGCTTTCGTTTAAAGTAACTGAACCCAATTTTTATTTTTTTTCTTTTTGTAAGTAAACTGAACCAATGTTAAAATATCATACAGTCAACATATACCAACCAAAAAAAAATGTACCGGCATCGAATGCATGTACAGAAATAATAGGAGGTACATTTGGGGCAAATGATATCTTTATTTATTGAGCTAGCTAAATGAAAACATTATTTATTTTTTCCAAAAAAGAAATTTTAACTTTTATTTTATAGTTATATATAACAAAAAAATTATCTAATACTCCCTCTGTTACAATTTAAATGACACAATTTCTTTATTAGTCTGTTCCAAAAAAAATGACACATTTCTGTATTTGGGAACGATTTAACTTTAAACTTTTTATTTTACCCACTTTATAATGAGAAGTTTTTATAGCCACAAAACTGTCATGGCGCCATAAAGCTTTTGCCCCTTAAGCTTTAGGACTGCATGTCTCAAAAGTCTTCTTTTTTTTCCCGTAAACTTTGTATCAAGTCAAACCATATCATCTAATTGAAACGGAGGGAGTAATATTTATGCATTTAAAAAAATGTGTATTCATCGATATAGGTACACGCGCTAAGCGCATACCATAGGACTAGTACTATATTAAAAATGCGAAGGCCCTTAACGAAATTTACTCGCCTTTTTTACCTTTAAAAATAAACTTTATATTAGACAAAATCGTAATTTTGTTATTTCTTAATATTTAATACTTTGAAATCAACTAAATGTTGACTATTAAATTATTCATTATTTAAATTATTTACGAATTCCTAATATTTAGGACTTTAACACATATATTTTTTTGGACAAATAAGAGTATTATATTTTCTTTTGCTTATATTTTCTTACGTCAATTTCTACATGAAATATGTTTTAACTTATAATTCTG